GTGTACATCTACACCATAATATTAATATAATAATTTCTGCTTGCATTATCGTTGATTGTTGTTATTATATATAAAGGGAGTGCTACCTAGGATATCATATTCATTCCCAATAATTTAAATTCCTTTCCTCCTACTAACAATAGTTTGATTTATAGATGTAATGCAATGCAATTATAAAAGCCCCGTAAATGATCAGTTGCTTGCAGCTTTGAAGGTTTAGAAAAGAAGCTTCGCTGTAATTGTCAGTCTCCAAGTATGGCATAAAATATACAAGTACTGTTATTTATTGTAACGATATGATATAATTATATTATATAGACTGTTTTATTCAGCTGCGTATATTTAACTATGCGTCACAAGACTACAAAGTAAACATACAAATTTTACTCATCCAAATTGCGTATTGTATTAAATTTTATTGCGATATGATGTGACTGTAGGCATGTATTCCATATCGATGATTTAAAATAAATAACAATGTAAAACAACAAAACCTTTTGTTTTTATCAGAACTACAGATTAAGATACATGCATTACTTAAGCACCAAAGAATGTATGCTTTTGCTTTATGGCGCCTGCTGATAACTGTAATATATAAAATTTTATCTTTAATTAACTTTCAGAAGTTTATAATTTATCTGATTTGTATTATAAAAAAACTACTTTACATATGTCGGGAGGCTTAAAGAAAACATCCCCATTTACCACCCCTTCCAATAAATAAGGCAACTAATTATATTATAGGAGAGACGCAAAAGATCGTGCAATTATTTAGTAATGCATTAAAACATCAATATGATTAAATATTTATTAATTTATTTGGTATTATACAACAAATTACATTTTAAACTTTCAATTAACAAATTAATATTAATATTTCAAAAATGTTTTATCAACTTTTTTCATATAGGTAATATTTTTCTTAAACAGGAAAACAGAAACTATATAGAACAAACAAAATAGCTCAAACCCCAACGCCTAAACACGACACTGTAGTTGTCCGAAGTATTTTTTGGTAACAAGATTACCTTCTTCAGGGACTGAAGTGAACTAAACCTAAAAGAGAACTAATCCTAATTTATACTAATAGTTTTTAACGTTCATTGAACGTGGCTCAGTGACAATAAGGTTGATGTTCAAACTAGACTAAATAGCGGAGATCCAGGGATAGGACCGTTGTCATTGTTAAGTAGAATTTGTTTACTTTTATAAATATCTAAGCTTTCAAAACTATCTAGT